TGGACATCTCAAACAGCATTCCTTCATGTCGTCCATGCCTCAAGCAAGGTTAGTGTTCTCTCTCTTCATACTGTACCGTACTGTACTTTGTGTCATATTTTTGTGGTTTAAAAAAAAAAACATGGTTCAGAACGGATTAACCGTATTTACATTGAGCCTTATGGGAAAATTTGATTCAGGTTGCGACCAAAATCGGTTGGCGACCAAATTCATAGGGGTCAGAACGGATCAACTTTATTTACATTGAACCTTATGGGAAAATTTGATTCGGGTTGCGACCAATTCGGGTCACGACCAGAGTCGTGGAACAAATTAAGTTCATGACCCGAGGTACCACTGTATTTGCCCCCTGCTTCTGGAGCACAAATCAACTACAGCTACTTGAAGGCTCACATAACTGCTTCAAAGCTCTCCAAGGCTTTCCCAGGAAAAAGAATCTTCTGGGCACCACACATGCTCAGAGGACCTTGAGAGGACTTCTAAGTGCCATACCAAGCCTTTGAGTGGCTGTATCTAAGGCAGCTTCTGTTATTACCGAAGCTCCTCATCCCAAAAGCTGCACGATCTTATTGTGTATTCACTCCAACAAATGTTTGTTCTAACCTACCTGACGTTTCTCCCCTTCATTTCTTTCCAACTCAGTGTGTTGAAGACGATGAAGACATTCTGCTCTTTCTGCTGACAGCCTCTCTGCCATTAATTTGTCTAAAACACGGAGCTGTGATGGAACAAAAAGGTTCAGCCGAAATGGTATCAATACCAGATCTGGTATGTCTAGCCATTAGATCAGTGAATCTGAAAAGAGCACTTTTGATGAAGCAGTATGAATAAAAATACTTATTTTAGTATTTCAAAATGCATACACTAAAAATTACTTGAGTTTTATTGCAGATGTGCCCAGAGAGTAAAAAAATATGCAGGATGTATTGGATTCCTTTCAGTAACAGGATTTCTAGCTTCCAGTCTATCCACTTGCCTTACATATGGATGCACATTTACATACACATGCTTATACACACACAAACAGCTGGATTTACACATCATGCTAAGCCAAAATATGATCGGTTTTTTTAGCCTTAATGTGTGAATCCAGCCAGTGTGGTTTATTTAGTAAGCTCTGTTTAAATTATAATTTAGCATAGGTATGAACTATTCCACTCCCCACCCTTTGGAATGGTCACCCCAGTGCTGAAATAATTAGCAAGAAGGGAATTAATGTTTGTATTTACATTCACTGGAGAGGAAAGGATTACAAGTGAGTAAACAGGCACAATGTGGAATACACACTGAAAGCAATGAGCTGGTGCCAGCATCTGCGAGTGCACTACACAAACAGGTCAGGCACAGGACAACGCATACTGACTATAATGGCGATCATGTGACTGAGGGACACTGCAAAGGTAAATGCAGGCACTGATTGCAAAGTTATTTTTTCAGCATCGTTGTCACTTTGAACACTCCCTGAACAAGGCAGTCAGTAAGTGAGGACTTACCTGTATTGGTATAGGCTTTCATAGCTGGTACCTGTTAGGCAGTGTTGGGCTTCAGGGTTTAGTGATCGTGGTTTAACATCAGGAAATCTGTTGTCTAGCCACAGTCACTAAACCCTGAAGCCCAACAATGCTCTTTCTAAACCTGCTTCACAATAATGAGATCTTTAAAATGTAAGCCAGGAAGATAAAACATTGGCTGGCCTGCTGCTTGTGCTTCCTAAGCAGAGACAGCAGAAAATTACTTCCACAGTGTGGCAACCATATCAGATAAAACAGTTTGCTATCATATGTAATGTGTTCCATATGGTAGTAATAGACAGTTGACTAGTGAATTCTGCTGCATCCCTTGAATTCTTCCTTACCTGATGTTGTGTTTTATTTTCCATCTGTCCTAGTTTGCTGTTCATCTTATCTTGCACTGCTACAAACTCCACTTTTATTTCTTCCATAGCAGCTGCCAGCTGGTTCTCTACTTTATGTATTAGTGGCTCACAACGACATCCATTTATAGGTGCCTACAAGAAATGACCAGACACATATAAGCATAAACATCTCTCTCTGAACAAACACTTCTGCTAATATAACAAAGGCAATCATAGAAGATAGCACTGGACTGGGGCCTCCTGGAAGAAAATTAATGGAAGAAGAAAACATGATAGGTCTAAAAGTACTGGCAGGAAAATAAACACAACTTGCTTAAGCCAGGTTTCTCCAACCTTGCTCCTTTCAAATAAATTTGGGCCACAATTCCCAGCCAAGATGACTATCAAGTTCATCTTTTACATTTATGGCATTAATAACATGGAGTAAAAGAACAGCTTATGTGAACCCTTTGGAACTCAACCATTTCTTCACGTTCCTTCTGTTTCGGAATATTGTATGCTTTACTCTTAGGATGACTTGTTGGAAAACCACTCCAAGGAAGAGTAACATTGGTTTTGCATTTCTCCATTTGTACACTCTCTGCAATAGTTTTGTAAGCTTGTGCATACTGACAGCCTTTTTCTGAGGTCCATGACATGGAACGCAGACTGCAATGGTGGCAATCAACATCTGTGAGGTTTTATACGGGAGGATCCCTCAAACTCATATTTGATTGTCATCTCATTGATTGGAAACCTGACTGCATTATCCCCTTAAGAGAGTGGATTATTGTGGGCTTCACATAACTTTTTACACCAAAGAGAATGTTCAATGAAACATGATATTGAAACACTGTTTGGGACACTGTCTGTATGACCAGAGTCTCTTTATCTGTTAAAAGGACTCAGGTGAACCTCAGATCACACTGTAGGCCACAGTACTGAAGATTATGGATAGCTCACATCTTTCTCTCACCATTACTATTGCTGAAGATGTGAAAGTACAGCTAACAATGTAAACAATTCAGTTGATACAACAGTGTAAAAATGAATTTATTTTAGAAACACATGACACATATGACACAATATCTATGTACTTCAATGTAATATAGTTGTGATCTAGCCCCCATGTTTTTCAACATTGGCATCTTCCAGATGTGTGGGCTTCTGGAAGGTGAAATCCATGTACCTGTAGTTAGAAAGTACTGACCTATGTGATGCCTCATTTAAAGACGGCCAACAAAACTGCTCTTTTACCCTCAGGAAACAAGAACTTCAACAAAAACTAGAATCAGAATGTACTAAGGAATTCTTACTGGGACTACACATTTGTGTTGCTTGCTTAATCTTTCAAAAACTCTGCCTCCAATGAAAATTAAAAAGTAAATTCCAAAATAGGTGTCTTCAGTTTCTAATTCTTCTTAAGGAAGCACTGTGCTTTCTATCAGGAAATAATTCAGAAAGCTAAATAATTAAACCATGAAGGCAAATTCATATTCCTCTGATCAAACCTCCCTCTTAAAGCACAAATAAAAAGACTCCTAAAACTACAGAGCTAACTTGAATATCCATTACTCTTCACTACCCCAAGCAATACTTTGCTTCTAGATTTATACCTGCATGATTTTTCCATTCTTTCCACGGTACAGAGTATATAATTGGTAGGCCCTGAATTCATGGGGTGGTGGTGGAGATGCACAGCGATGCTTGCTTCTACGTTTTGTCAGGTTTTGCTGTGGACCAGGAGGTATCTGCTGATCCGCTAGGGACAAAGGATCAGAAAGCGCTAATACCTAATTTTTAAGAAAAGGAAGAAACAGCATTTTATGAGCAAATAAAACCATTGGGCTGCTTTTGTTAACTAAAGATTTTGAAATGTTCCCTGCTCATTATGATCAGACATATGTCACGGATTCCCAGAAGGGGTCCAACAAAATAGAAAATAGGTTTTGTTCTGAACCTAGAGCAAGCCATCCCATTCCAGAAGTTCTGTGCAAATATTCTGGACTGGCTGTAATTCAGCAGAAACAAAACCTAGAATGTTTTGGTGGTTCTGGGTTTCAGATGAAGTGATATTTAGGACAGTATATCCCACTACCATCTGCTTCCTGAACTTCTCAACATTCCTTTCCCTCATTCCCTTAATTTCCATCACAAAGTCTCAGCATGAAAACTCCCATCAACCCATCTGACCACTTCATCTTCATCAGTGCCTTCCTTTCCTTCCCCCTCTCCAGCTTTTCTACCACCAATGTTCTTGGCTTTTTCCCACTCTTGCCCTCACAAGTCCACCTGCCAAACTATTTCTGCCTAGAACAAGCATATTTCATTCTCAACATGGAACAAAACTTTCAAATTATGTGTGCCTTAGTTTGGGCCTGGATCATCCCAAACCAGCTGTTTTGTACAGAGTATTTTGCACATCCCTAATTCACAACCTATATCTAAATTTATATATCCTGCAAGTATTTTCAATGAATTTAGAAGTAATGCACAGAATATTATTTCTCATTATTCTTCCTACCATTGCCCATGATAGGTGCAAATGTGTCCATGATGTTAATCTATTTTAATGAACAGGCAAGGCTGGTGTGCCTCACCCTTTTCCCTCCTTCCCTCAGTTGGTGCAAAGGTCCCAATTATATTGAGCTATTTTAATTAATTCAAATTAATTAAATTTGAATTAATTACCATCAAGGCTTTATTTCTATCAGCAAATTTTCACTGATGGAAAAATGTGCTTGAAAAAGTTGTTAGCTAACAAATTTGTGCCTATAAAGTCTACTAAATACTCCCCACATCTTGCAAACCTGCTGTTTATATTGATTTGCACTATTAGATTTTTTTTAAGAAATATAAACCAGCCCTGAGTCTAGTGGGATTGGATGCTTTGAGCAAAGACAAATAAAGGTGCACAGGAGAGAAGCATACCATTGATAGAAGGGGGAAAAACACACTGTCTGCATCAAGAGGGCACTGCCTCTCTGTTGAGGTCCACCTACTCATACCTTTTCTCCTGGTTTCTTCTTTTTACTCTTCTTCTCTCTCTGCTCCAACAAAGGCAATTGGCTTTCATTCTTCAAGTCACCTCTCCCTGGAACAGGATCACTGCTATGGGTGTCTTCAGCAGCAGAAGCACTATCCTGTTCAAAATACAAGCACATCTAGGCAAGGACAAATGGATCTACATTCTTCCTTTCAGATTTTATGGTCAGTCCTGATCACGGTACTGCGCAAATTCCAAACGGGACAAATGACAAGAGGCAGCACTCAGATTACAATCACTGCTACTAATATTTGGTTCCAGGTGCTTATCATGCAGTGACACAACAGACATGCCCATGGCAAGTTCACATAGTTCCAAGAAGTGCAGTCTTTCAGTTTTCATACTGCTTTCCTTCCCTCTTAAATACACAGAAATGGCTGTACCTTGCTTTGCACCACTTCATCGCGTGGCACAGACTGGGCACGTCTTTCCTCTTTAAGTCTCTCCCTTTTCTTCCTCAGGCTCCTTCCACGATTAAAGCGTGAAATCTATATTTGGTAATGTTTTGAATTAAGATGACAGAACTACATCCAAAATGAGTCAAACTAGAAAGACCCACTGAACCTAAACTTACTTAAGATAGTCACAACCAAGTTAAGTCCTATTAATGTTAATACTTCACATAATCAATCAATCAAACATCCAACTGTGATCAAGTATGAATCTAACCATTACCTCTGCTGTTTCCTTGAAAGTAGCAGTATCAAGGACAATGGACAGAATGCAATGTTCAATCAGCTATATTAAAGACTACAGAGCAAGACGAAGAATGTAGGCTAGGAGCTGCATTAAATACACATACACAGCAACATAAAATTTAGGATTAATTTCTCTGTATGTCAGAATGTTTAAGCTGGGTCCAGATCTTACTTTGGTCCTGATTAAGAGTGGATCCATTGGGATCTTAAGTTAGTCATGACTAACAAGTATCTTTCAATGGGTCCACATTAGAGAGTGAATACAAATCAACCCCAAATTCAGGTCACATATCAACAAAATCTAGTACTCATAATTTCGTTTTTGTAAGAAATATTTATTTCATAGTATTTTTGTGAAATTAAATTTCCAAATCAGCCATTATGCACTATGTACCTGAGGGGCTTTTGTAAGCAGAAGAGCAACTTCAGGGTTCTCATGTTCCCGGGCAACTTCTAGGGGGGTCTGGCCAGCCTGTAATAGAAAAGGTTGGATTACGCTCCTCCAAAACCATTAAGAGGCTCAGAAAGCCTGAACATTTTTAAACAGGTAAAAGTAAGGACTCTTTTGAGTTGAGCTTGACTCCTGGTGATTGTATGGACTCCTGTAGTTTTCTTAAAAGCAGTGGGTGGCCACCACCTTCTTCCAGATTTTTTTTTACTTCCCAGTTTAGCCCAGTTTGGGAAGGACTTGGGATTTCCTGGTGTCCCCCATTCTAAGTACTAAACCACTCTGATTCTGCTTAGCTTTTCAAGATCAGCCAAAGTCAACCAGGAGCGGCCACCTGCCATGATTACATTTATAATACTTCTCCTAATTTATGAGCATGCAGGATATACATGTGACCTTATTAGATGCCCATTTTGTCCAAACTAGCAACATTTCAGTCAGTATTTAACAAAAAATAAAACAGTAACACAAAAAACCTCCACACTTACATTGTTAAGTACTGTCCCGTCAGCTCCAGCTTCCAATAGCAATTTGGCCACTTTCTTATGATTCAGTGCAGCAGCTACATGAAGTGCTGTATCTCCAGCCTAGAAGTTACAAAAGCAGAATGCCCTGCCCATGATGGCCTTGATTTTCATATTCAGCGCTGCTCATATATATCTAGGAGGCACAGAAGCAGATTCCTCTCTGTGTTGGCTTTCAGTGCTACCACATTTTAGCAATCAGTAGTTAACAGCAGCAAATGGAAGTTGCAATCAATGCTTGTTGGACAACCTGCAAACATTCAGTTTGCTAAATACCACCTTGGATTCTTTCAGACAAGGAATTGAGAAACTAGTCAGGGCTTATGCTGCATCCCCAAACAGTTGCCACAGCCATTCAAATTGATTTCAAATAATGTACCACTTGGCAATATCACATGAGCATTCATAAGCTCTGGATAAGGAGTTGTTGCTATCTTTCTCTGCTTGTTTGTTGTACCTGACAGTGTTCCCTATGGCATTTTTCATTGGAGCAGAACAAGGTAGAATAGATTGTGCAGTTTCCAATGACACTGATATGATCTGTTAGAATAATCCTACAGCCCCAGCATAACATTACAGTACCAGCATATCAGCCAATGAGGTCTCATAGTCAGTGAAACCTCATACGTCTTCATATGCCATCTTGGCAGGGTTATTTTTTCACATGCCAACCTTTGTTTCTATAATATTCTCACCAAAAGGCATAGCAAGAATTGTACCTAATTACTTGGTACTTTGAAAGCAAAACTGCATGACTAGAAATAATTCAAGTTATTGGGTTATCTTCTAATTATCTGAAATCCCCATAGTAAAATCCTGATGTAACAGATCAGCTGGGGAAAAGGGGTGCCTGTTAAAGCTTATTACATCCAATTTTACGTAAATGGTGTATAATGTTCATAAAATATACCACAATTCATATAAAACTTTTAAAATTAGTATGGTTTCATACATTGCAAATTACAAAATCTATGTAAATTGGGGCATCCACCAAACAATAGACTTTCCTGTTATTTGGGCATGAAATCCAAAATCAGATTTTTTTTTCTACTGCATTCAAAGTCTGCAGAATGACAGTCCATAAAATTGAGATGTTACTATATTGTTGTTGTTTTTTTATTTTACATGACAGAAAAGTTCCTTTTAAAGTGTAAATGCCATGACAACTTCCAACATTGCCAACAGAAGATGCCCCATTTCTTCAAGGCCACTCTGAACACCAAAAGAATATACTGGATATAACAATAAGCTCCTAATAAATACTTAGTTCAATTGCTTTCAAGATCCAGAACACAATGATTACTGCAACCTCATTCCAGCTCTAGAAACTAGCATACATGTGAAAAGCTGACAGCAAATGAAGCACAGGGGCATTAAAGTACATGCACTGACCTGATTCTTTTCATGGATGGAACAGAAAGCAGTGAGGAGCACCCTAATGATGGGTAAGTGATTGTAACGAGCTGCAACATGCAAACAGGTGTCTCCTGCCTAAAAATAAAGGGGAGGAGCTAAGCAAACCCAGTAAAAAAGCTTCAGCTAATGTGATATCCCATCTTAAAGCACATATGTACACATTCCCTGGGAAGATCTGAACCAACACACACAGAATAATGATATTACATTAGCTAGCCATCCAGCTAATGACAAGGATGGGAGTTGATAGTTCTTATCCTCAGATATCAGTAGCCCATTAAGTTGGTAGCTGCGGTGTTATGATAGCAGTATTTTTCTTATATTCTACTAATCCCAGATGAGCCACCTGAGACCTTTAGTTGCAAGTGCTCATTTTATTCTCAGCATACCAAGCAGAACTATCTCCCTTTAAACCTCCAGCCAATCCACAACTGAAACAAAATGTGTTATTTGACTCCGTTCAATTGATGATTCATTTGTGATGCTTGTTCCAAAAGAATAAGCTCATACCGGTATATGTTCTTTTGGCGTGGATCCATTAAACTCTCAAATGCATATTTGAATGCTACAGAACAACATGATTTTAATATCAACATACTTGCAGTTACGCAGATAATGGAACAATAAACAGATCATAATACAGTCACTCGGTGCAGATTCTGAAACATCTACATCCTAAACAGTCAGTATATCTGGTAACACTCACATTGTTTTTGATATCTGTCCGAGAGCCTCCAAGCAGTAGAACTTTCACACTTTCAGAATGACTGTTTTGGCAAGCCAAATGCAGTGGAGTGTTACCTGCCTTAAGAAAGAAGGAGAGGAACACACTAGTCATCTTTAGGAAAATAAGTATGGAATTCAAAAAAAGTAACGGTCCCATTTGGAGATGAAAGAACGAGTATGAATGCTGCTTAGTTAGCATTTGCTTTAAAAAAAAACTTTTTTCTAGTAAATGGCTCAACAATGAGCAGGAAATAAGACAAGGATGTGGTTGTTTAATGTATAAGGACTGTTTGGGGTGTTAACTGGAGGTGTGTTGGTTGAACACACACAATGCTGTGTTGTTGCTGAGATTACATAAATCGTATGATGCAGTGAATGTTAGTAAAAATGGCTATATACTAGAGGATGCTTCTACAAACTTTGTTTATACAGAAGTGAGGACTGAATATGTCAGAATGGATGCTGAAGGCTGAAGGAATGGGATTCTTACTTTGTGTGGTAAAGTAAGAACTAGGGTAAAGAATGAACAGGTGATGAATGAATGTGGCCTGAATACAAAACAGAATGAACAGATTCCAGTGGTGTGGTCATACAGAGAAAATGAATGAAATGTAGGTTGAACCACAGAACAAATACATGAAGCAAGGGTGAACAGGTCAGGGGGAGACAGGAAAGTCATGGTTGCATGGAGCTGGAGAAATTCTCATAAAGAGGTAAGAAGTTTAAAGAACAAACAACAAGGTATGAAATGATGTACAGATGTGGTGGCAGCAAGGATGACTTTCAAGGATGGAGAGAGAGAATGAATGGTGTTGATGCAAACTAGATTTAGTTATATTTCATTATTTCATAATCTACTTTTTGTCTTACTATTTTTTACTTCTTTTCTGTACTCTGCAAAAAGTTGCTAACGCCAAAAGGGAATAGTATGGTTTGTATGTATACACACATTTTCTTTTATTATGTCTGGTCTCTATGCAAAAAAAAGTCTGTAGCATAGGCATGAAAGAATGCAATAAAGTTAGACCCAATGTTTAAGAAGATGCAATTTTTTGTCCCCCTAAGATAACACCCAGAAATCAGGATCAGAACTGGATCAGAATCCAGAAATAAGGAATTGAGGAAGAACATTATAGGGGACAACACACTGTCAGATGTTAATTACAACAGTGCCAACAACTGTTAATTTTCAGATTTGCTTTTACATTTTGAGTCTTCATTTATCTTTATCAACTGATTTGATAAGATAAAATATAATGGAATACAGGTACTTAAATTTCATACTACATATTATAACTGTTAGCAAGTATAGATATGGATGCTTTTCCCTCTATTTATGGCATAGGAAACATTTTCAAGATTTTATCAGCAGAAGCAGCCCATTTCCAATCAATGTCCCAATAATAAGATTGGACACCAATGTCCCATATAACAAGAAGCTTCTATTTTCCTGGGCTCCAAAAAAGCACTTGCTTCAAAGGGAGGATAGTTGTATGCTGACAATAAGGGTTGAGGAAAGGTGAAAAAACAATACTTCTCCAAAAAAGCACTTGCTTCAAAGGGAGGATAGTTGTATGCTGACAATAAGGGTTGAGGAAAGGTGAAAAAACAATACTTCCTGCTCTGTGAAATTACATACAACACCACAAGATGAACATAAACAAAACCATGGGACTCCTCAAGTATCAATAATCAGTGGGAACTCCACTTTTAGTTGAACAACAGAAGAACAATCACAAGCAGTGATGATAATGCTCCATCTGGAAGGACCTTAATCAAGCCAAGTCTCCTTTGCTTTTCTACTTTTGTGCTTGATTTCCCTGTTTCTGATAAATTTATTTGTGCGTTTTCACTATTTCCTTGTTGCCCCAATTCACATTCCAATCAGAATGAACCTTCCCTACCTTGACTGCAATGCTAAAAGGCTTTTCAGCCAAAATCAAATGTAACTGCATCAGCTGTCAAGATACTCCATTTCCAACACAGAAACATCTTCATGAGGAACCACTGAGGCACAGCCAATTAAAGCAAAAGAGGTCTTGCTGAGAAATGCACTACCACTTCTCAAGAAATGTCACTGCCAGAAGCAACTGATAAGGAAAAGCTGATGTTTTATTTATTGTGTGTCTTTTGTCAAAGCACAGGAGTTGAAAGCTCTTTTCGGTGTGCAGCTCACCTTGTTCCTGGCAAGAACATTAGCTCCTGCTTTAACAAGCAGTTTGGCTGATTGACTGAACCCATGCCAAGAGGCTTCATGAAGAGCTGTGTTCCCATCCTGGAGAGCAAAACAGAAAAACAGCAATTTTAGAGAAAGAATAAGATCATCTAATGTTAGAATGGCACTTTACATCCATTTGGCACCACCACCAAAGGAATGCCTCTTGTCAAACCTTGTTATAGTATAGGAACCATTCTAAGCTTTCTACCCTAGAGACTGGGCAATTGAACCACATTACTCCCTGCTATAATTATCATCGGTCGCACAGTCAGCCAGTTGTTTAGACTGGATTTGGCATTTTTATCCACTGACTGAGTCTTCCCAAGGACCTGGGAAAGGCAGATGTTGTTTGATGGTGTTAAATGTATTGTTGCAGGATGTAAGCTGGTCCAAGTAAAGCTGCCTTTTGCAACTGACTGATGGTGATTTTGTCAATGCTGATGCTCTTCAAATGGTACTCCAAATGTTTTGGGATTGCACCCAAGGTGCCTATTATTTTATTATTACAACTACTACTATTACTACTACTATTCTCCTCCTCCTCTTAGTGGAAGCTTAGCACATATATTTTGCTTGTTATTTGCTTTTTAAAGAAAGCCTTACTACTGGACCACCAAATTTGGCAACATGCTACTAAAATTTGATGACACAATCTTGGGGAGCTCCAGAAGCCACAAACAGAGGGCTTGAGGTCCGAAGTGGCGACAGATCCCTACTCCGGCCTACAGTGACAAACCCAGTTTTTCCAGGGTTTCACAGCACTAACTGGAGATGCTAGAAATTGAATCTTTATATTCTGCAGGTCATGCAGATGTTCTAGTATTGAGCAACTGCCTTCCAAGGATTATAAGTAGACTGCGAAGGTTTCATATTCAAGTGTAATTTTCTTCCTCCTTCACAGATAAATTCCCATTTTCTTCAATATATCTCAATAGTTGTATCATCACCAATGCTTACCTTAGTTACTGCTAGGCAGAATTCACTCCAAATCAGAATTCAGATTCAGGGTTTGAAACAGAGTGAATCCTGGTTTGCTTTAACAATGATAAACATTGTCAATTTAATATTTAATGCTGGTTAAAGCAAGGAGGAAGTAAGTAAGATGTAGGGCAGAAAATATGCTCTGCCAATTCCTCATAACCCTGCTCAATATTTAATTATCATCTCTGCACTAGCTTTAGCAGGCTTTTTAGTGGAATACAGTAATAATCTCAGAAAACCCAAATAATAAGAAAACCACTGAACTGGGAAACTTTTGCAAAATGTCACCTAAAACTTAAATAATTACTCACGTTTCCTTTTTGTGATTATTAATACAAACATTATCAAATGGACTGAATTTAATAATTTTTCAAAGGCTGATGGCAGCACACGTTGTTTGAATTACTCTCCTTGGCCATGGTCATGTTACCTTATCTTGCCTGTCCAGCGCACACCCTTCATGGATAAGAGCTGAGATGACATCTGTGTTTCCTACAACAGTCGCTCGGTGCAAAGCTGTTTGATCACCCTGTAAAGAGAGGCAGTGAAGTATTCAGTAGTTTCTATTTAATACAGCTATATTACACACATCGATATATCTCTTCTCATGGGGAGAACATACTAAGTAACTATGAAATATATTCAGCCTATGGATAGAAAGCAAATATATATTCTAGTATGTAATAGTCACAGGTTTGTTTACACACTCTGCTAAGTCATAATGTGGTTTACTTGTTTTTAGTCACAGCAGGTGGCAGCACATGATCAATCTTGGTTGACTAGGAGGGCATTAGGCATTAAGGATGAGTGACTACCAGAAAATTAGAGATAACACAAGACCTCATGTCATTCCTTAGATTCCTTCTAGAAATTGTTCTTTTAGCAGCATATATTGTCAGATCAAGGAATCTTATGTTTTTCTACAATTTGGGCAGGTTTCCACTTCCCATGTTGTTTAACATGATCTCCCACATTCAAAGGAGGCAATGTTCTAACCCCCTTGATTATAATAATAACTCTGTTTCCTTTGTCTCTGCTTCAAACTTTCATAAACACTTTCTTGATCATCTTGTGAGTTTAATAAAAGACCAGCTGGTAATCTAATTCTCAAATTTTGTAGAATGCTTTTCCAACTTGGAAAACATTTGCGGGGAGGGGGGGAGGAAACATAAGTGTAGGTTATCATGTATGAAAATCAGTCATATGTATTGTAAGTCTCACACTTTTTCCCCATTATATTTCTTATAAGAGAAACAGTAGTGTACAACTTTTATCAGTTGATAGAAGCTTATAATTTTAAAAAACTCATTCTCCTTCCTCCCAATATAAACAGAGTTCAAAATCATGGAATCTTTCCAAATCTCTCTCCCAAGAATCTATTCAGGACAGCCTTCTTCTGTCTGGTGCCCTCCATTATTCCAGTACTGCTACTTCATGTATGTCTTTTCTTTCTGCCAATGGTTGGGAGAATCTGGGTGAATTGGTTCTATCAAATAACTATTGATGGATAATGGGACTCCCACTCAAGATGGCCACAGAGTGACAGCTCTTTAATGAGTTCCTGATTTTCTATTAATTTTAGTTCTTTTATCTAGCCTTTTTTTCAATAATTTTATTAAAGTTTATATTACACAGATAAAACTAATACAACTATATAGTACAGTTACATTAAAAAAATAAAAATTTAAAAATTGCAGAAAAAGAAAAAAGAAAAGAAAGAAAAAGATATAACAAGAAACTTCCCCCTTCATCCCCAGCAAATATAATCAGCATTGACAACTTATCACTCTCTCTTAAAATACAACTGAACACTTCTTCATTCCATACCTCACCCCATTCTCTATAAGCCCATCTCTAAACTCTTGTCTCTCCGTATTAATCAGCAAAAGTCCAGTAAGGGTTATCAGTAACAATAACAACATAAATATTACAAACAATACAGTGGGGCAAAAAAGTATTTAGTCAGCCACCAATTGTGCAAGTTCTCCCACTTAAAAAGATGAGAGAGGCCTGTAATTTTCAGAGGAAATAGGGAGGATCTGTTTAAATAGAAATGGAGATATAAATATAAGAGAAAGGATCCAAATTGGGTGTAATATATACAGTGGGGCAAAAAAGTATTTAGTCAGCCGAGGAAATAGGGAGGATCTGTTTAAATAGAAATGGAGATATAAATATAAGAGAAAGGATCCAAATTGGGTGTAATATATACAGTGGGGCAAAAAAGTATTTAGTCAGCCGAGGAAATAGGGAGGATCTGTTTAAATAGAAATGGAGATATAAATATAAGAGAAAGGATCCAAATTGGGTGTAATATATACAGTGGGGCAAAAAAGTATTTAGTCAGCCGAGGAAATAGGGAGGATCTGTTTAAATAGAAATGGAGATATAAATATAAGAGAAAGGATCCAAATTGGGTGTAATATATACAGTGGGGCAAAAAAGTATTTAGTCAGCCGAGGAAATAGGGAGGATCTGTTTAAATAGAAATGGAGATATAAATATAAGAGAAAGGATCCAAATTGGGTGTAATATATACAGTGGGGCAAAAAAGTATTTAGTCAGCCGAGGAAATAGGGAGGATCTGTTTAAATAGAAATGGAGATATAAATATAAGAGAAAGGATCCAAATTGGGTGTAATATATACAGTGGGGCAAAAAAGTATTTAGTCAGCCGAGGAAATAGGGAGGATCTGTTTAAATAGAAATGGAGATATAAATATAAGAGAAAGGATCCAAATTGGGTGTAATATATACAGTGGGGCAAAAAAGTATTTAGTCAGCCGAGGAAATAGGGAGGATCTGTTTAAATAGAAATGGAGATATAAATATAAGAGAAAGGATCCAAATTGGGTGTAATATATACAGTGGGGCAAAAAAGTATTTAGTCAGCCGAGGAAATAGGGAGGATCTGTTTAAATAGAAATGGAGATATAAATATAAGAGAAAGGATCCAAATTGGGTGTAATATATACAGTGGGGCAAAAAAGTATTTAGTCAGCCCCTATGATGAAAATTACAGGCCTCTCTCATCTTTTTAAGTGGGAGAACTTGCACAATTGGTGGCTGACTAAATACTTTTTTGCCCCACTGTATATATTACACCCAATTTGGATCCTTTCTCTTATATTTATATCTCCATTTCTATTTAAACAGATCCTCCCTATTTCCTCTCTTCAATTCAAATAGCCAAAGTCTAGTCTCAGTCAAAAAAAAATAAAATTAAATTAAACATTACCAAAAATAACCATCATCATCCAGTCCCAATCAAAAAACCATTAAACATCACCAGAAATAGCAACCCATTATTTTAATCTTGATCAAATAAACCAATTTTGTATTCTTCCTTCTTTCTCCCAACAATCTTTAAATTCCTTGAAGAAAGTTCTAACATCTGCTTTCTCATACTCTCTTTGTCTCTTCTCTCAAAGTTCTTGTCATTTTTGTCAGGCCCTTTTTGTAATTCCAGTGTGACAGCTCCAGCATTCCCTTTTGTGAATCCAATATAAGAAAAGAATCCACGGTGCTCTTCTGATCTGTATATCTTTTTTTAATTTTTAAATCATTATCCAATTTTATTTGTAAATCCATTATTTTCATCTCTTTCTTATAGGCTGTAATTTTTAAATCCACCTATAAGTCAATTTCAGTTTTATTCAATGGGCTTATTCTTCTACAATAACACCTGATTCTACTATACAGTTAAATAGCTCTAAGACTTCCTGCACCCATTCATCAAACATTTCTTTTAAGATAGCCATCTGGTGACCTCTAGTGTCCAACCTTCAAAGTCGTCTTATCAGTTTCAAAGTATAAACAAGGAAATTTTCCCACAAGAAAGGATCCTTTTAATTAGCTTAAAAGTCTTAAATCCAGTCTATCTGAGCCCTTAATCCATTTAAAACTTTCTAAAGCCAACAACAATAATTTTGCTGTATATTGCAAAAAAAAATTTGTTACAAATCTTTAACCTTGTAGTTAAT